AACTTTAATTTTTACCATTAGATTGTTAGTTCTTTGAGTTTTTTTTCATACAGAGTATATCTTTTCAATTGCAAGAACTTCGATTATGTAGGTTTATTATTATGAATAGTGTGAACTTTTGATTCGCAAGTTTATTTTCATTTGTCTTCTTATTCCAGTTGGTAATCTACTATAGTGTTTCTTTCATGGTCCATTGATTTTGAATAAATAAATTCTCTCTAAGAACCATAACATTTTGTCATTTATTAATCGGTAAATTAGCTTTGATTATCTCTCACCCAAAACTATGATTCTATGAACATGGTTAAAAAATCATTTAAAGTCAAGGCACTATATGGTACTCTTTTATCACTATGTTCATTAAATTGTAGACATCTTTTCAGGAATAATATTTGATCAATAGAGGGTGCTCATAAGTCTATCTCTTTTGTATATACAGAATTGGAAGTCTACAATAGTAACTAAATTCAAGTATATTTGTATTTTTGAGGCATTACATATTGTAAAAATATTTTTTTGGAATCATCTCAGACTCAGCTCTTTCATAAGTCTATCTCATTCGTATTACTTTTAAAAGTGATTTGATTCACCGAAAATAACACTCACCCCATCCCATAAAATTCTTCCCGGTTTAACTTGGATCAGAGTTTAAGAATGTGGGAATAAAGTGAAAATGTGAGGTTGCTAAATCCAAAAACAAGGACACATAACGGCACATAGTTTTAAATAAAAAAATGAGCATATAGGCATCTTTTTATTATATAAGGGCCAGTTTTTTACTATAATAATCACTAAATGTCAATAAATCATATTTTTATCCATTATCCTTATTTTGAAAATCTATTTTTATTCAATCTTATAACCTTTTCATTTTAACTCTAACTTGTACAAAATATATTAAAATTCATAATTCTTATAACGTTTGATTGCATATAATTTTTTTTGAATATTTATTAAACAACTTCCTATTTTTCAACTATGATATCGATTATCCCGTATTAAGTAAAGAAATAATCGATAACTATGACCCAAATAAGTATAGTGAATAAAATGTGACCTTTTTTTGCAACTTGAATAAAATGTGACATATTAACTTTTAATGGTTATAATTATGTTTTAGTTTTATATCAAAGTAATTATAAGGAAGAACCCCTCCAATAGATACTTGTGAATTAAAACTGATTAAATTGGTTATGAGTACACTTTTATAATCACTTTGACATAATTTTAAACATAATTATCAATAGGTTACTTAATGAATCGTCCGATTTTTTATTTAAATTTCTCTATGCAGTATTATTGGTCTCATATGAAAGATAATAAAAAGTTAGAGCAAAAATGTTAACACGTACGTATATATAAAATACCTTTTAAATATACTTATATTCACTTATAGTTAATAAGTCGTATTTTATCTGTCAATCTTATTTGTATCATATATTAGAAATTATTTATTTATGTAATACCGAACTATATATATCGAGGTTGGAAAATAGAAATGATGCTTAATAAAATTTCAGATTTTTTTAATTTTTTTATATTACAATATTGATTTCAAATGAAAGATCATAAAAAATCATGAAATTTGATATATGTATTATAAAATTGAAGTAGAAAAGAAAAAATTATTTCAATTTAGAGAAAAATGGGTGTTTTTATTATCTTGGGTACCACAAATTACATATACTGTGTCTTTACTTTGGTGTGGAGAAGATGTAGGAGTTGCCATGTGTCATTATATAGTAAGGGGAGTGAAATTTGGTGAGAATGACATGTAACATTTTTAATATAGATTTTGACATTAAACAACATTTTTTTTGTGAGAGTGACACGTAACATTTTGTAGGGGTAAAAATGTATTTTGTAGAGGTATTTGTTTTCTTATACTCCCTTCGTTCCTATTATATCTTCCATTTCACTTTCGCACACAATTTAAAATGTGTAATAAATAGTGTGGTGGAGTTGTGCAGAGGAGAGAAAAATGTGTAATAAATAGTGTCAACCACAAATTCTTTCCCAAAAAAAGGGAAAGTGGAAGTTTAATTGGAACGGATGAATAAGAAAAGTTGGAAGATATAATAGGAACAAATGGAGTATATAAATAGAATAGATACTCCGTATGTGTTCTTATTTTTGTTGATACTTTCTTGTTGGTGCTATTGCGTATGGGAGATTTACTTAAATAGTACCAAAACATGGCTTTTTTCCCAAAATAGGACCAATTAGTTTAAACATTCTTAAATAGGACTTTTTATGTGTGATTGGACCAAAATACCCCCACTGCTGCCCCTCGACCTCCGGCCAGCCGCCTACCGCCAGAGCTCCAGCCACCGCCACCGCCGCCGCCGCCGGAGCACCGCCGGAAAATTCCAAAAAATGTTTGGCAGACTGCCAGATTCTGCCGCCGCCGCCGCCTCCTCCGCTGCCGCCGCCGGAGCACCGCCGGAAAATTCAAAAAAAAATATCTGGCAGACTGCCAGATTCTACTGTCGCCGCCTCCGCCACCGCCGGAGTTCTCCGCCGCCGCAATGGTGTTTATCAGAATTTATTGTTTATTTATTGTCTACTTATTGTCTATTTATTGTCTATTTAATGTCTGTTATTTTCTTGCCGCCGCCGGAAACCGCCGCCACTGCCGCCGCCGCCACCGGAAACCGCCTCTTCCGCTGCCGCCGAGCTGCCGCCACCTCCAGACTGCCTTGGTTGTGCAAGGAAACTAGGGGGGCAATTATTTAGATCAATTAATTAATTAAATAGAATTAGGGGTAAAAAAGGTAAGGTTAGTCCTATTTAGAGAAAAACATGCATGTGGTCCTATTTTGAGAAAAAGGTTGAGTTTTAGTCCTATATTGGACAATTTTCTCATTGTGTATTGTAGGCGCCGAAAGACTGTGGCTGAAGCTTATCATACGTACGTTTTCTAGAGTACATGCATGCATTCTGAGGTAGATTCGGTACCGATCTTTCCAACGAGATATTAAACGCTTTCAACGGCACAAAATAGAGCAAGATATGGTCGCATCAAATTCTACACGAGTTCGGAGTGAAATCAGAAACATTTGTGAATATATGGTTAATATGTAACTTTTAATTAATGCATTGTAAATGAAGTTGGAACAATAGCTTTAGAACTCCGATCTATTTTTCCAACGAGATATAATAAGATCCAAATGGATAAACACACAACAAGATACTCATATCTTGTTGTGTGTTTATCCGTTTGGAGCGTATTATATCTCGTTGGAAAGATAGATCGGATCTCTAAAGCTATTGTTCCAACTTCATTTATAATGTGATGGTCCCGGAGGATATTTCGTTTGGATTGGTATTATATAATAAGATCCGATCTATGTTCCAACTTCTCGTTGGAGGATCCGATCTATGTTCCAACTTCACAACAAGATATGAACACTCATATCTTGTTGTGTGTTTATCCGTTTGGAGCGTATTATATCTCGTTGGAAAGATAGATCGAATCTCTAAAGCTATTGTTCCAACTTCATTTATAATGTGATGGTCCCGGGGAAGGTAATGGTCCGATTTGGAGTAACCGCTGTGTGTTTATCCGTTTGGAACGTATTATATCTCGTTGGAAAGATAGATCGGAGATCTAAAGCTATTGTTCCAAATTCATTTACAATGCATTAATTAAAAGGAGAAAAAATTGTAGAAATGCAGAAAGAAGATATACTGCTTGATCGTCTCTGTTCCAAATTGTGGAAATGCAGAAAGAAGCTTTACAAATACTTAGTCTTATCTCTATAATAATAATAATAATAATAATAATAATAATAATAATAATAATAATAATAATAATAATAATAAGATCCGATCTATGTTGCAAACAATATATTTCGTTTGGAGGATATCTCGTTGGATTTCTAAAGCTATTGTTCCAACTTCATATGTACGAGTGTTCATTTCCAACTCGTACATTTGTTCACATGGACTAATCAAAATGATGTAGCTGAATTATTTAAAGGTGACAATTCCCTTGCCCATTTAAAAAATGGGGTACAGTACCTACCACTTACTTGATTGGTTCAAATCATTACATCATTTTTCATTTAGATTTAAATAATTCAACTACATCATTCTGATTGGTCCATATGGACAAAGGTATGTTACCTTAAGGGTACCATAGAATCTACCTTATTTAAATCTAAATTAAAAATGATGTAATGATTTGAACCAATCAAGTGAGTGACAGGTACGGTAACCCATTTTTTAAATGGGTACCGGAGTTTTCACCTTATTATTATTAAGCATTTTGCACTTTCAGGACAGTTTTTGGACCATTTTTTTTATATTTAGGATAATTAATTACTTTATCATAATTCTATACACCGTAATTATTGTATAATGTATATTGTATATATGTGTGTGCCGTACGTATTAAGTTGTGTGCAACACAAATACTCGGGTGTTTGACGGATAAGTGCACATTTCTAACATCTAATTCCTAAAGATGTATTTTTTTTGAAGTTTTCTGGGATAGCGCAAAACGGAGTTGGCAGGTCCGAAAATGGAGGCTCTGGACAATGTCAGACCATTTCGGAGTTCACTCCTCCGAATTCGTATGTACCGTGATGATTTATTTTGTTTGGCCTCAATTTGGTTGCTGAATTTTTCACTTCTCATGTGTTTTATATTTATTTTTTTTTAAAAGATTTTTTTTGTATTTGTTATAAATCATAAGTTATTCAACTTAAGTAAAAATTGTACAATATTGTTCATGAATACGCGTTTTACAAAAAGTTGACCCATTCAATTAAATAAGCACACGTTTTACAAAATTGATCCAATAAATATTTTAAACACAAATACTGAACCCGAATAATAAAAACCTAACCATTAAAAAATGTGAACCCAAAAAATAACAAAGTACATCGATTAAAAGTATCAATATACTTAATCAATGTGACGAGTTTTAAAAACAGTTGACCCATTCAGCATTATTAACTTGAAAATAATTACAAATACTATTTACAGTATCACGTGTTTAATAATAAGTGACCCATTAAGTCATATGAACTCAAAATTAAACAAAGTTCATAACATATTAAAAGTACATTTGAAACATATGGCTAATAAAAGTGTTACAACATTAAAACAAACTACAAAGAAAAGAAATAATACACCATAAGAGAGTACAAATGTGAATCAATCATGTTGTGCTCTGCGTCTTGGATGCATATCCATCTCATTTGGAAATCTTGTTTCTTGACGGCGTCCTACTCGAGAAGTTCTGGAAGAGTATTTAGGCGGCAGAAGAATGAACTCATTTTGTGGCCACTCATTCAGATTCGACAATGGCATGATATCACTGGAATGTGCATTTATGTAAGAACTTAGTTTGTATACCTCTGGAATAAGATGATCAACAAGGCACTTAAGAAAATGGCAGACAGCATGCGCATGGACGCATGGCATGTCGTTCATCCTCCAACAACCGCACTCACAGACAAGTCTCGATAGATTCACCGTAACAGGTGTTGCATTATCCACGGCGACTGAGTAAATTCCTGTGTAGTGGTTGTGTGGAAGAACCATAGTGTGAGGTCTTTGGTGCCAACGCTCCATAATCTCTTTCCGAATGTTGTCCGGAAAATGATATCCAGCTTGCTGCCACATCATACCAGCACTACGACGTTGGGCGAAGAGCTGGACTAGTTTGTCAAAAGTTGCTCGTACAAGGGTAGTGATTGGCAATGTCATACATCCTTTGAGAGCAATGTTGAAACTTTCCGAAAGATTTGTTGTCATTTATATCATTTATATCATTTAATTTATTGAATTTGAATGTAACAAATTAAAAATCATGTAAAATTGAATTGTACAAGTAACAAATTATACCTCATCTTCCGTCATCCGATCTAGTTGGTCCCTATATACCCGTAACGAAAATCTGTTTGTTTGCTGCCAATCATGTTGACACGCCCACCTAGATTTAGTTTCCACGAACAATAATATAAATAAATAAATAGCGTAGATTAAAAGCATAAATAATCAAAGTAACATAGATAATGTATTGTTTATTTAAACAATACCTAACAGCATACGGAAAATCCAATATATGGTCAAGTGGGAGATGACCTTGGGGCCGAACCATCGGCAATCTCTCCCATGCCCAGATTTGTAGAAGGATTAAACATCCTCCAACAACACTTGCACATCCTGTAAAGTCAATCCTACCTCACCAAAGGGCAAATGAAATGCGTGTACCTCGGGTCTCCACCTCTCCACTAACGCAGTCAGAAGTGACCAATCTAACTGTACTTGTCCTATTCTCTCGACACCGTGAAACCCAGATGCTCTCAACAACCGTACCACCCCAGGATGACGCGGACCATCATCAACATAGGCACATGACGAATAGTGATGGCACCTCAGTTTGTCATCTCGAAATGCTGATTCGTGCCACACACGATCGGCACGATGCTCACCGGGTATCATAACTAAAACAGAACGATCCCGAGGGCCAGGGTGTGCAACTCGTTCAGCCATTACAACCTACAATTAATACGTAAACAAATACTAAATTTTTTATCATGTTTTTAATTTAGTGTTAATAAATGTGTTCAATAATATTATGTAGTTTAAAAATTCTACAATTATTACTACTAATGGATATGAAGTAAGTAAATATGAAAAAGTTCTACAATTATTACTACTAATGGAATAATAAGAACAGATAATATTAAACTTCTTTTTGTAATAATAATAATAATAATAATAATAATAATAATAATAATAATAAACTCTAACCTTTGAACAAGAAGCCTTGTTTGTTTTGTTGGTGTGAAAGTGTGGGAGGAGGATATGAGATGTTGGTGGGTGTGAAAGTGTGGAGGAGGAGTAGTATTTATGCTGAAAATATTATCACGGTAGAATCCGACGGACCAATGAAAGCGTTCGAAAATCCTATCTTCTGCATTCGGAGTTGTCAACTCCGAAAATGGCTGACATTTTCTGACGACAACGCGTTCGGAGTTGTCAGATCCGAAAAGCTTTAAAGCTGTGTCGACCACTTCAAATTAGGAGTACTGAACTCCGTTTTACTCTTTTTCGTCAAAAAAAATACATCAACGCGATTCGGAAACACCTGCCCAAATTCTACTCTGTTCCGTCATTTACTCGACATTTTCTGACGACAACGCTTTCGGAGTTGTCAGATCCGAAAAGCTTTAAAGCTGTGTCGACCACTTCAAATTCGGAGTACTGAACTCGTTTTACTCTTTTTCGACAAAAAAATACATCAACGCGATTCGGAAACACCTGCCCAAATTCTACTCTGTTCCGTCATTTACTCCAAATACTCCGTATGACTTTTGTGTGTACTTATTATAGCTAGGGTCTAGGGAGTACGTATGAATTATTTCTTCTCCAGGAGCTGGTGTATGCATTTAATCTTTATGCATTATTACATCTGATCTTTAGGAGTACAACTCACTTTTATCAGTTGTTTAAAGCTTTTCTACTATTTGTCATTCATGTATAGTACGGAGTAGTTGATAGTCTTAGTTAATTATTGGGTTCGATCGTTTGATTAGAAGTTGTGTCTTTATGAATTATGGTCACCACTCACCAACGTAACAACTATTCGTTACAAATCTTATTAGGGTGGTCGTTACAAATCTTATTAGGGTGGTCATTTTTATGGTTGGGTATGTCGAGTAATTGTATTTTGTCTTCCTCCATTGTACTTACAAATTCTTTATTTTACTTAATAATATAAATTTGATGTTTCATATTAAGGAAAAGAAGTTTTTATTTCAGCGTTTTCGTCCGAAAACGCTAGTGTCGAACCGCTATTTACCAAACACCCTTTTCACTTATTGAAAACGCTAAAAATGGTCAAATCGACTGAAACGCCGTTTACCAAACACCCCCTAATGTTTCACTTCTTATTGTAGGATCATCATCAAGTATTAACATCTACTACTTGTAGTAAAGCTTCTTATCTTACACGTAATATTTATGATATTTGAGATCTTATAGGTTTAAAACTATTGATGAACCGGTTCTCCCAATGAGTGGCCTACAATAGCTGTAGAGTCAATAATTTTATAATTTCTTTCAAAATTTTCCATCTCTAGGTTTATAGTTTTTTATTGGCTTCTATTATCAAGCTTCACACTACTAGAAAAATGTTCTATATATAGTAACATGAAATTAGAGTCACTGAATGGTTTATTGACACTCTAAAATATGTCACACAAAGTCGAAAATTGTGACACTATACTTAGATTTGAGAGTATAGAACTCTGAAGTATTTTCGATTTGATATATTATGATTCTCGTAACTCATTACTAATAAAAAGTTATGACTTCTGAAAGATCAGCACTATCTAAACGTAAAATCGGCAAAATTTGATTCGCAGATTATTTCCCAAATGTAAGGAATAAATGTAATTAGATTTTGATGATGCTAGGATAATTAGAATTTAAAAGTACCCCTATAGAAATTTTGTATTAGAAATTTCTTTGTAAGTATTAGCATAGTCGACATGCCAGAAACCCTCTTGATCCTCTTGATCAGAACATCTACCAGAGTTGCTCCCAGAGTTGCTCCCAGAGTTGCTCTCCAGAGAAGCTACCAGAGTTGGGTACCAGAGTTGGCATCAGAGGCAGACATCAGAGTTCAGACCAGAAAGCCTCATCAGACTTGCTCTTACTTAGCAGAATTCGAAGGCACCTTCCAACGGCCGTGAAACTAACGGGAAATTCCCTAACGGCTAGGAGCCGTTCGACGGAACATGGTATTGTACACGCATTAAATGCTCAATTAATGCGGTACGTACGAAGATATATTTAAAGCTGATGATTGACCATGCGGATATCTTTACGCCTCCAAAATAGCAAGTCGAAGGTCCAACCGGTCAAATCAACACTATATGCATTTAATGAAGCAGTCTTCTACACTCCAACGGGAAGACTGCTCCCAGTATATAAGATACACTTCGAAGAACTACAGGATAACTTTTCTCTCTGCATTTTGCAAAAACAACACCTTGAGCATCCAAGCTTTCTTGAGACTTCAAATTCATTCACTTCAACAAGAAAAGCTTACGTTGGAAAGATATCAACTTCTTATCCTCTCATCCAACAAGAGAAAAGTTCCTCCAGTTCTTAAACACTTCGAAAGCCTCACTTATACATCCTTTGTGAAGAAGCTACGTTGGAGAAATCTGTTTTTAAGTAAAACACTTCTTGAAAAAGAAGGGACGTCTCAAACTAACTGGAGTAAGTGAAGTGGAGATACTTTCAAGAGACTCAGTGAAACGAGACCAGCCATACGGAAGTAGGACTGCATCCCGGGTGGCAACTAGGCTTGAAGAAGACGAGGAGTGCTTCTTAAGTACTAGGGACTAAGGCGTTGTAATTGTTAACTTACAAGCTTAGTGGAATAGTGGACTAGAGGAACATGTTGTTCCTTGAACCACTATAAAAAATCCCCGGTGTCTTTTACTTTACGCACTTATTTCTGCACTTGAGACTTTGACTGTTTAACTCAAAAGGTTGGACTCTGTGTTCAGCAGATCTCCCTTAAGAGTTATCAGAAAGGCATTTGCTTTAGTGTTCTCTGAGGCTACCCGGACAGAACCCAATCCGCTGCCAGGTCCAGTTCTGTCATCAGAACTCGATCTTCTCTGTCATCAGAATCCGACCATCTCTGTTAAGTCAGTATTGACTTGGAGAAAAGTTTCAAAAACCCTGAACAGTCTATTCACCCCCCCTCTAGACTGTTCCCATTTTACATGGGACCGACAAGTGGTATCAGAGCGTCCTCGTTCTTGTAATCTTTTAGGTTACTCATTGAACAGAGATCCACTTGTTTTAGCCTCCTTTAATATCTTATTATGGATAACACTCTGTCAAAGAACTTGATGTTTTCATTTACCAAGTTTGATGACTGGAAGATACGCATGAAGGCCCATCTCCGCGCACTACATGATGAAATGTGGGAAGTCCTAGATGCAGGTCCTTTCACTGAGTTCACCAAAGTGAATCTTGAGTACTCTGCTGGAAATGGTCAACCCCAAATGATCGCTAAGCTTCGCCATGAGTGGTCTAATGAGGAAAGAAGGAAGTACAATCTTGATAACATAGCCAAGGACGTTCTGTACAAGGCCATTGGTGACAAATACTTCACAAGGATAAAGAAGTGCACATCTGCCAAGGCTATCTGGGATACTCTTACCCTAATAGGAGCTGGTGATGAGCAGGAGAAAGACAACAAGCTCACAATTGCCATGAAGAAGTTTGAAGACTTCAAACTTCTCCCCAAGGAATGCATAGCTGAGATGTATGCATGCCTGCTCACCCTCACTGCTGAGATTTCAGAGCTTGGGAAGGATCTTACTCCCAAGGAGATCAATTTAAAGATTCTCAGAGGTTTACCTTCACCCTGGAAGATAAAGGTCACTAGAGACAGCAATGATCTCAGGACCTACAGCACTGAGAAACTCATCTCTGATCTCAAATCTTATGAGTTCGAGATGAATGAAGAAGAGAAAGAAGAAGTTGAGGACAGAACAACTACTGCCCTCACAGCCAGCACCTCACAGGTAAATAACTTTGACCCTTCCATTCTTTTAACTGACGAATATATGGCTGCCTTTGCCAGGAAGTTCAGGAAATTCTTGAAGCCAAAGGACAACAAAAGCCCATCTTCTAGCAGAAAGCCACACCAGAAGTCCAAGCTGTCAGAAAGTAGTGGAGAGCTTCTCTGCTACAACTGCAGACAACCTGGACACTTCAAGGCCAACTGTCCACACCCTATTGTCTCCAAACGACAAGGCCAGGAAGGAGAAAAGAAGTATGAGCACAGAAGGAGAAAGACACTCATCACTGAGCAACCAGAGAAGGACCCCCTCTCTGAGACAGAGTCCAGCTCAGGATCAGAGTCCGACGAGGAATTTCGTTGCCTGGATACAGAAACTGAAGACCTATGTCTTATGGGTCAATCTGATGATGAGGTAACCTCTACTTCTAACTCTAATTTTTCCTCGGTAGGCAAAGCTTTTGATTCTGATTCAATGTCAGAATTTTGGGAAGAGTTTCAAGCCATCCAAGCCACTTATTCCTCTGTCAAAGAAGAAAACAATAAGCTAAAAGTTGAGATTCTTGACTTAAGAAAGGAGGTTGAGACCAAAATAAATCTTCTGACACTACTAGAAAACTGCCTTACAGTGACACTTCGTTAGTGACACTATTCGATTTAGTGTCAAAAAATGACGACATATCTGAAAGTTTACACATAAGTATCACTAATTTCTGACACAAAAACATCACTATTTAATAGTGATACTCAAGGTGAAAAAACGAGGTCATATTCATAATTTATTAAAATATATTTTCTGAAATGAGATTTATTTTATAAATTTTAACCCTAACCCTTCACATACTTTTCGCAGAAGCGCAGCTAACTCTCAACCTCCGATCCTCATCTTCAGCTGCTGCGCTTCAGCTCCGGTCGAGAGCCAACAATTGAAATCGCGGGAAGCAATCGACGCCTAGCAGGAGGCCACGCTCCAGATCACAACTCCAAGAAGCAATGAACGACTCCAGCAATCGACTCCAGCCCGACTCCAAGCCATCCATTTTCTTCAGCAACTGACTCCATGAGTCCATGCCATCGATGTTCTCCAAGATTCTAGGCAATCGATCAATCAGCAATCCCAGGTATTAAATTCATTTCGATTACATGTTCGATTGGTATGAAAAAAGGGGTTTTTACGCTCTATTCGATCTTGCTCCTCTGTACCATTATGTTGCTCTATTAGTTTTTTGTGGCTCTGATCGATCTTCCTGCTCTGTTTGATTTTCTTTCTCATAAATGATGCAACGATCAAAGTCACAAAAATATAAAAAGGCCCCATGTTCGCTGCTGCACTTACCGCTGCCGACGACCTGGGGATGGAAACGCTGAGGTAGTGAAGCCGCAACAGCAACCTGAGCTAAAGAAGCTGGTTGAGATGACCTTGAGCGAGCTGGAAGTAAACTCAAGACATCAACTTGCAGGATGCCTTCAAGGTGTTTGTGAAAAATCCTAAGAGATTACTCTTCTCAGTTTTTATTTTTTGTAAGCAACACATTTTGTATGTCCAATGACCTTATTTCCACATTTAGTAGTGTGGTCCTCATTGGTTCCTTTAAAACTTTCTTGTTATTAATATCTTTGGCTTTATCACTTATATTTTCTAGGATGGTGTCAACATTATTGGTGTTAATTATGGTTCTCCTGGCTCATGCCTGTATCCTCGGCCTTTAAAAATTGTAAGTCTCAACCAATAATTACTTAATTTGTCTCTACCCTCATCCAAACCATGCATGGTATTGCTGGAAGAGAACTCTTCCACATCTAAACAGCCTGTTTGATTGTTTGAGGTCTTGTTTGAGGATTCATTTAGTTCTAGAGAACCTCATTATTCATGAACTCCACCCTGGATTCCTTGCTGCGGGTGGTTGTATAAATGAACCAAAAGCAAACCTCATGCTATAATCAAATAGTATCCACTCTACTTTGCTCATCTCCCATGCTCCCTCTGTTTTATATTAAGTGTAGGAATATGCTCATGGATTAACTCTTTCTCAAACACACATTATTTAGTTCATATACCTTTGACTAGTACAACTTCTTGTATTTGTATATTACCGAGTTTACTATTATACCTAAACTATCTTTTTTATTAGTATATACATCCTCAGAATACTTTTGAAGTGTGTATTTCATGTGTAGACGAAAGATAACCCTTTGTTTAATTAAGATTAAACTTAACTCATATAATTTTTTTGTCTTATGCTTTCTTCTTCTTCTTCCTTTAATTTGCAGCTGAAAATGTCGTTTTTAATTGAGGACTTGCTGTTTTTATGTTTATTATGTATTATTACGTTTAGGCTATTACTATGTACACTTTTAGTTGAGTATATGCTTTTGAAGTTTATACTAATATATATGAAATGTTTATAGAATTTAATTACGCTAATAGTGTGTAATCAGTTTATAGAATGTTTATACCTTGGGAAATGCTAATGTTACTCTTGTTTCTTTTTTCCCCGGTAATCAGTTTTTGTGTCTTTTGCTGACTTGCTGTGTTTCTTTACTCTGATCGGTGAAGCTTTCTTGGTCAAAGAAATTGGTCAGAAAGTGGTTCAACATCAAGGGAAAAACTGATGCATTGCAGACTAATGAAGTTGTAAATGGAGCAGGTGTGCTTCTGATCTTCTACTTCTCCTTAGATTTGCTTGGACACCTCTTCATCTTACCCCCTTTTTTCTGCTATTATTGTTTTTTTATTGCAAGGACTGGGATGGTTTTTTTTGGGGGTGGTGGTGGTTAATGAAGCTGCAGAATCTAATGTTTTGTCTTTATTTGTATTTCGCTATCTGCGATAGATATTTTTACTCCATTCGACCTCTCATTTTGTCCCTTCACTTATCTTAAATTCAACCCCAAGCTGCAAACTCCTCCCTTCTTAAATTTCCTTATCCTCTAACCAATGTTCTAGAACTCGCTAGGCGCTAGTCGGGCGCCGGGACAGCGCCTAGCGCCTAGGGCGCCTAGGAACCGACTAGGCACCGACTATGCGCTGACTATGCGCCTCCTAGGTATAGTCTTTTTTTTGTTTCCTAGAATTTAGTCATATAATTGATAAAATAAGTATTATTTATTATATTTCAAAGATTTTTTGCAGCAGAAAACTAGGAATAGGGTGTCCAAAGTGCATAGATTAAGACAACTATATAAGAAGTCCAAACTAGACTGCTTTTTTGGAAGTAAAATTTTGAGAATTTAATGGTCAATAATTCATTCAGATTTGAGAACTTATTTTTTTGTTCAAATGGCAGTTCAAACTTCAATATGATCCCATCTTTCTGGGCACCAAACAACCAAGTGTATGCAAGTTTCTAAGTTCAAACAAATCTGAAATGCTATTCTAACTTTTGGAGACTGAAATGCTATTCTAGTTTCTAACAAATCTGAAATAGTATTGCAATGTCAGTTGTATGAAACTGCACAAATCATAATACATTGTTCATGATTCCCCAAAAATAATACATTCTTCATGACAATAAAACAAAAAGCAACTATTGTTCACCCAAAAAGCAGAAATATTAGTTAAAAAAACTACATTAGCAATGATCACATACTACAAAAAAAACTGCACACAGTCAATAGTCATGCACCCTATGTCATCTCATCCTCTTCATCCAACTGAAAATCCATGGCCATATTTGTGTCTTCTGAATCTGATTCAAAGTCGTCGTCATATAGTTCTCTAAGTCTAGAACTTCTTCTTGGTTGGGACAGTTCATTGCCTTCAGAAACTTCATCAACAACATGATTTATCTCTTCAAGTGTTTCATTGACATCAACCAACCATCCTTGTGCATTCCTAGCATCACTTGCTAGTAGATCAATATACTTATCAATTTCTTTCTTTTTCCTTTTCAACAGTTTTGCATTAAATTGGACATAAACAAGATTGTTTAGACGCTTCACATCTAATCTATTTCTTTTCTTCGAATGAATCTAAACATTAAAAAAATCAATGGTTAAATAATAAAATTACTTTGGATACGAAAATTTATAATCTACTTCTAAATTAAGTTAAATTTAAAACTTTAAAATTAAAGTAATGAAAGTTCAAATTACTCACCCATTCAAAAGTACTCCAGTTTCGTTCACACCCAGATAAACTACTAGTTAAAGACAGAATCTTGATATCTAATCTCTGCAAATTGGGCACTTCATGTCCGTAGGTTGTCCACCAATTGGCTGGAAAAAAATATTTATGAAAAGATTAAGGGTAAACAAAATAATATGAACATATAAAGCATAAAGTGTAAAAGTGCTAATATAGCTAGTTAGCTACTGGAACTGTTCCATGCAGGCAAATGGTTTTTTTACCCGGTTCCAGCTAGTTAGCTAGTTACCCGGTCCAGATTTTTGGGATCACATAACATCCCATATTTCCATCCAACATCTTCTGAATTATGCTTTGGTAGAGATGAAACCACATCGGAAGAAGCTTGTGACTGTGGAGCAGACGCACTTGAAGAATCCATACCTGAAAATTATAAAAGTTAGTAGTTCAATACAATTTGCTAGATATAATACAGTGCAAGTGCATATCAATATATTTTGTTGTTATAAAATTGGGTAGCTAAGTAGCTACTAAATACTTTATCAGTACTTTGTAAAGTGTTCAAACAACATTGAATGCTTATAAGTCAAACCTATAAGTCGGGCTGAATATGAGGGTTTTTGAAATGCAGAGATAGTTAAGGTTTTTTAAACTGATAAACTGGACATTAATAGTGGTTTCTTTCCAACTACATCTCCAACTAACTTTAACAAATAAATGTTTCAATAACTCAATAAATTCAAGCCTTTAACTGCCTAACACAATATGCATAACTGCATAAGTATTCCAAAAGACAGTATGCTCAAGTATTTCAAAAGCTATGTGTGAGCTTAAACTTTAGTATAAGTTTGGTGTATAAGTTTATAAGTTTATTTTTTCAACTCTATGGAAGAATTGAAGAAACATAGTGTTGTATAAGTTTTCAGTCACTTTGGTGTATGTCTACAAATTTCAAAAGCTTCCAGCCTTCAATAATCCTTTCAGGACTTTTTCCAAACACCAAACTTGCACAATTTCATTGACAGAATAACATTGTGTATTTGTGTGTTTCGGTGTTTCCCCAAGAAGCTTAGTCGTTTAATATCAGTTGTTAAGATGCTAAAAATCTAACACATACAGAAACACCTTTCGAAAAGTAAATCAAACATCCCAAATTTCAATGTTTAAAAAATAACTGAGAAGCGTTGAGAATAGAGAGAGCATACGTTTGAGAAGAAGGGTACCTGTATGACTGTGTCGGAAACCGAAAGAGAAGCAGTGAAGGTCTTGAATTGAAATGTTTGAGATGAACGGTGGCGCTAGAAAGGAAAAGGAGAAGAAGTCGTACAGGAGAAGAAAAGTTAAGCGGGAAAATGAAATTTCTTTTGGCTTAGGAGCGTAAAACAAGCACTTGCCCGACTACCTTATTCCGCCGATTTGGGCGATTTGGCCGCGTAGGCGGTTTGGGCGGCCGATTACGCGGTTCTCCGATTACCATTTCCGATTAGGTGCTATTCGCCTCAGTTAACCAGCGCCCAATGACTAGGCGGCGCCTAGGCGCCCGCCTAGTCCGAGTTTTTGATCATTGCCTCTAACCCTCTCTCCCTTCGTCATAACCAAGTCTCCGATGAGGCAACTTGGACGGAGAGGGGCCATATGATATAACAACCACGGCTGCCTAGATTTCTTCATCGCAGGTATATGTTATCATTTTATTGTGAGTTTTAGATTGCCTCGTGTGTATAACAATCAAAATTCAGGGTTGTGTTGAATTTTCGTTAATAATATTGTTTTGTTATTGATTATTTCAATTCAAATGTTCAATTTCCCTGAAATAATCTTTGTGGTGATTTTTATAAATATAAATTTTCTGCTCCTCTTTAAGTTCACAAGAATGTTTTCCTTTATGTTTTGGTTCTTTAATCATCCTATTGAATATGAAGAAGTAATTACTTAGGAAATGACTCAAGGTTTATTCATGAGATACTTCTAAAATTACTCTAGCCATATTTCCTAATACTCTTTTCCATCGTTAACCTGTTTTCAGGAGTTCTGGATAGCCTAAATAAAGTGTGTTAGGTAAGTATTGTTTTTTCACAGTCTATTTTTGTTGCTTTTTGTATGTATATGAGTGTAGCTAGAGTGTTTGATTAAATGTTTGAAAGGTTATATATACTTTCTAATCATCTTGCATTCTGGGAGGTGAAGCGAGTTTGTTATATTTCGCGTAGGAAGATGTATTATTAAGTTGCAGGGGATCATGTATCAACTGAAGAACCATTCTTACTTCTTTCATTACAGTTGCAAAGGTATGTTATTGTTGGAGCTCTTAACAGTCTGACCTCCAGGCTTTATCCTATATACGATACTTCTCATTTGAGTGATTGTTTTTTTTCCAAATTGTACGTGTTACAGGAATAGTTGCAAGCTATTGCTTCCTCGGAGAGTATTTCTTCCTTGGTTAGCCAATATATATGTTTGTGACTACTTGCAGCCATCTGAAATAATTGAGGTGCTTTTAATCTTTATTACCCGTAAACTATAACCTGCAAACACTTAGAATCCTCCCCTCCTCCTCGGCCTGCAAACACTTTCAATACGTGTTGTTTCCTCTGCTATGAGTCTTCAGGTTCTTCAGTTATTAATTTTCACACTCCATATTATTCTGCCAGGCTTTTACTTATGTTCTTAAATTAAAATCCATTTTTTCTGTATGGTTCTTCAGAGTACTTCAGATATTTTATTGGCTGCTGAAGTAGTGATATACATACCAATAAACTAAACAATAGGTTTGAATCTGTTTTCCGATTTAAAAGAGGATGAGTTTGGTGCAATATTGAATCATCACAATCATAGTTAGGAGTTCATTTGAGTTAGACATAATACAAAGTTATAGGCTCTTCAAATATTTTTGTTCAAGTTTTTTATTGTGCTCTCAATGACCTTTTAGTATGAACCAAAGTTCGGGATTTTTAAATGTCATCTCACTCTCTCACCAGTAACTACTTTTGCATTTCCCGCATTGAAAATGGCACTTGTTCATATATGATGTCTGAGGACAGATGTTTCTTGAAGGCTTGCTACTACATGTGTGGCTTTTGAAGCTGATCAAATCTCAGGGCTGCCTTGAAGAAACCATGGGGAAAAGGGAGCACGTGTTGTTGATTACTTCCATAAGAATGCCGTTGTCGGGGCTTGGCACTTAAAGATTGTTTTATGTTCTATAGACCGTGTTTTATCTCAATTCTAGCTATAATTGTAACTTGTTTTGTTTTTTGAGTTGTACTTAATTACATTTATGATTTCCGGGGTATGTCCCTATGAATCATGTACATTCATATGAAATCTTGAGATATAAATAAAATGTTTGAGATTTTGGTTAATGTTAATGTTTTGGTTTATTTGTATTGATATATATACTAATATAATATATATAATATAAATATATATAGTAATGAATCATGTACATTGACACTTGTTTAGTGTCACAAAAACTTTTAGTAACACTAATTTGGTGTCACTGTAAGACATTTTTCTAGTAGTGTATGTATATATCACTAAAAAGCATGATGCATTGGTATCACAAAGATCCTTGTTACGTATATATCACAGATCTCTATGATGTTTATATGTCATAATTTTGTGACACCAAAGTGACTTGTTAACGGTGATACATAATTTAGCGTCACTAGCCCCACTTTTCTGTGACACTTTCATAGTGTCACTAAATTGTTTAGTGACACTAATTAAATGTCACTATAAGCCATTTTTGTACTAGTGTGATTAAGGAGAGAGATCAGCTAGAAGCTGAAAATGTTTCTTTTCTCAAGAGAATAAGAGATATAGAGCCTCTTGAGATTAAGTACAAAGCTTACCAGAAGGTCCAGTCTTCCATGGAAAAGATTGTACTTGATCAACAAATTGGCGTTAGTTTTGTTCTTGGTTATGGTTCAACAGAATCAGGTGAGCCTTCCATAATGCCTAGCACCAGAATTGCTAAGGCAGATAAGGTCATTGTGCCACTGATTTCTAGCCCCATTTGTCAAGCTAGTGTATCTGGTACTAAGGTTGTTCATGAGAAGGTCAGACCAGATAAGCAAAAGATAAAGGTTCAGCCCAAACAAAATTTGAAAACCAATGAACCTGGCAGAAAACCTAACAACAGAAAAGGTTTTCAAAATAACAGAAATCAAAGACAGAACTTGACCAGACATTCTCATGACTACCCCACCAGAAATGATCACCAGAAAGGCAAATATCAAGAGAAGGTAAACTTTAGGCAGAAGAGGTTGGCTGGTCAACCTCATAAGCCCAAAGCTAACCGCCCCTCTGCTCTTGATAGTATATGGGACTTCTACCCAACCAGAAAAGCTATGCAGAAGTATGTAAACCGGAAGCATGATCCTCACAAAAATCTGCCCAAAGTGAATCACACTTCAGTTTACTACGACTACCAGGTGGACAATGGGTACCACCCACAAAGGTTTCACTTGATGAGACCAAAGTGGTACCGGCTGCCAAGACTGCATGACCCCCTAGGACCCAACATTGATTGGGTACCCAAATCTTCCTTTTATTAATGCAGGAACTGTGTGCTGGAGCAATCTCTGAGCAAGATTGGTTTATCGATAGTTGGTGCTCCATGCACATGACAGGTGACAAGAGTTGCCTTATAGAGTTCCAGAAAATCAAAGGGCCCAGAGTTACCTTTGGTGGTAATGATAAAGAAGGGCAAACTAAAGGAAGAGGGAAGCTGATCAGGAACCAGATAATCATTGATGATGTCTCATATGTCAAAGGCCTGAAATTCAACTTGCTAAGTGCTAGCCAGTTCTGTGACAAAGGCTACACTGTTGAATTTTCCAAAGAAGGTTTTCTGTCAAGCATGAGACAACTAAGGAAGTGGTTCTGACAGCTACCAGGAAAAGAAACATATATGTTGTTGATTGGTCTACTGCAAAAGAAGGAATTTGCCTAATAGCCAAAGGAGATTCAAAACTTAGCTGGGAATGGCACAAGAAGCTGAGTCACTTGAATTTCAAACAATCAACAAACTAGCAAGGGATCACATTGTTGATGGGCTGCCCATTATTGTGTACAAAAAGGAGAACCTGTGCAGTGCATGCCAGAAAGGAAAGCAAGTGAAGAACTCCTTCAAACCCATTGCTGGAGATCTTTCTACAAGTCCTTTAAATCTGATCCACATGGATTTATTTGGACCGGTAGAAACTCCAAGTGTTGGTGGCAAGAGATATACTCTAGTCATGGTAGATGACTACTCATGAAGATACACTTGGACAAACTTTCTGAAGAAAAAGAATGAGACTCTACAGAAACTACCATCTCTGTTCAAGCTACTACAGAATGAGCAGAATCAGAAAGTCAAGACTATCAGATCAGATAGAGGAACAGAGTTTGTGAACAGAGTTATAAAGGAATTCTGTGACCAGAATGGAACCATGCATCAACTCTCTCCAGCCAGAACTCCTCAACAGAAAGGAGTTGCAGAAAGAAGAAATAGAACATTGAAAGAAGCTGCAAGGACCATGATTGCTGAATCTGGTCTACCTCATAGATACTGGGCTGAAGCAATCAACACCGCCTGCTACACCCGGAACCAGAGCATGATTCACAAGACTCATCAGAAGACCCCCTATGAACTATGGAAAGGAAGAAAACCGAACATCAGCTACTTTCATGCATTTGGAAGTAAATGCCATCCTTCTATATACAAAACGAAGTGGGAAGGCAGCCACTTTCCCGCCTAAAGTCACAGATTGTTCATTGGGTCGGGTTAGAGCTGGGAAATGGGTTTGGATCTTTAGCTGAGAAATCGTACGACAAATTCAATGCTCAATAAATGATGAAGTCAGACTTTTCAACATCCATTAAATGTAAGGTTTTGAATTGATACGGCGTACTTTCCCAGGGATAAATTATACGCACAGTAAATTGACACGAAGCCAATTGAATGTTGATCCTTTTTTATATAGATTGCATGTAAATAAGATCAATATATATTCATTGGATTTTGATGTACGAATTGGTGTAGCAGTGGACTTGATAAAATTAAATATATAAAAAGAAAAGAAAAGCCTGCAATGTGTTGTCTATTCAGATATCATGTCATCAAATTCAAGGACATTACATGTTATTAACCATTGGGTAATTTGTGAGACTTAGCCAAAGCACTTTGAAATTGAGGTATAAATACATCCAAATTTAATGAACTTCGCACCACAACAACACTCTCAACATCAAAATGGCATTGTACACAAATAAGAAAATAAGAATGTAATGTCTTATTCAAGTTTAAAGATTGGATCCACGAGATCAACTTTGGTTGTAATGGGCTTGAAGGTCCACCTAATTCCTGGGATGTGGAGACAACTGACGATCTTTCCATGGTGAAGAGGATGCAAATAGTCATTCAAATGTTTTTTTGTAGGGAGGACATATTCATGCTGCAAGCCTGCAACCCATTTTAAATGACAAACTACCTATTGGTGAGACTACTCAATCTAGATAATCTGTTCTTATTATTGCTTATTTTATCATATATACTTTGTAACAGTTTGGCAAATGCAGACTTCATTGGCAAGACACGGGTTAGTGTGTTCCTCAGACAGATCAATGGCAGGAACAAGTGAGTTTTGAAGATCCAACATTTTCAGGGGAAACTAAATCGGATGAACACTTTGGATTACAAACATAAAAGGGTTGACAAACATGTACAAGAAGATGTCTATAAAATATTAACTCATTAACTGTGCAGACCTAAACGTTACAAAGGTAAACTTAAGACTTTTATCTCTTATTAAAGATTCAAGTTAGTTTAAGTAACATTCTTATACGTAGTATTATACTATATTAAAAAATAGGAAGATTTAGTTTTAACATTGAAAATACAACAAGTTTTAGAGAAAATGTACATTTGACAAAATAATAAGATTCAAAATTCAGGGGATGAAGATCATACCTAAGATTTTAGTTATGAAAAAATGGGACTTTGCAATCCCTTATCAAAACTAATTGATAATTACAATTCATTTACAACTAATACATATTTTGGTACCTTATATTCAAGTCTCAGATCCTAGGAATTTACATTTTCTAAAGCACTTTAATAATTCAAAATGATATTCAGTATAGGTGGATTAGACCCCTGCATTTGTTACTATATAATTAAAACATGGCATTTAAAAAATGTTATAGGGTAAATACTAAATGCTCTAGCTATGCTAAATGTACAGCCTAAATACAAATATTTTGAAATCGATGTATTTTAATAAAAATTACAGCCATACTAATACAAGTGTTTCAAAAGCCATTTTTATTAATGTAGCCCAACTTTGTTTCAAAAAAATTAATTTATCTCCGAACAATATGTAAGGACTAACATTCTAACAAGATTGCATTCTTATACAAAAGCCTAAAAGATGTGTGTTTAGTCAGCCCACGTCTAAATTCATTGAGACAAAAAATAATAAAAACGGACCAATGAGATGGAGATAAGCACTGATTGACACAAGCTGAAAGCTAAAGAGATGGATCAACACTGAGATGTATAACATTTACCTAATTGAGACACAAAATAATAAAGACAGATTGACACAGGCTGAAGTTTATACTCCGTAATAAAAAGACAGAAAATAACAGTTACCTAATTTGGACTAACCAATGAGATGGATAAACACTGATCGACACAGGCTGAAAACTTTTTTATTATTGAAGTATAAAAGTGGAAACATCAATAAAAACCTACTAATACCTATAATTTTTTGATAAAATATTCTATATTACGTAATAACATGCATGTTTAATAACTTCGGGTGAACCTCAAATACGCAACTGATACACATCCATGCCTTTGCAAAAAAAAGCAGCAAATGAAAGATAAGCAAGAATACACATTTTAAAAATTAGAAATATACCAAAAATATTCAGACAGTCAACCGTACGCTACGGTCGGGCTACCGGTGGGACACATGTCCTATACACCGCACTGATTACCCTCCGTCAGTGGAGCCCGATTCATCAACGAACAAGCAGTGAATGAGATTGAGATCATGACTTAAGTTCACATACGAAAATTTTCAGAGAACATCGTGTTAACGTATGACACTCATGTGTGGACAAAGAGATTTGAGAGCGTTGTATTATCCGATAAAGGTGTTGGAATAGTACGGATGAATTGGGGAGGCAATAATGGGTAGAGACATTATATATGGGGTGTTAGGGTTTTTTTTAGATTATTGTATATAGTGTTAATTTGGCTGGTGCTGTAAAAATGAGCTGGAGGAATGCAATGGGCCGATTTTGGATGGACTGAACTTATGTCGTTAAAATGATTCCAAATATTTTGAAAATTGAGTTTCGTCCAGATTTGAGTAAAGTCCAATAAAAG